GCTAAGAAGTCTTCTGAATTAAAAGCACCTGGTGAACTATTTGTTACTTGAAAAGTTAAAAGATGGCTATTAAACATTTTATTTTATAATTTTATTTATTTTTTCCCCCAAAGCCCCAGTAGATAGTTGTATGTCATAGTTGCACATCCTTCTAGTTGCTGTATGCGGGACACGGCCTCAGCATGGCCGGAGAAGCGGTACGTTGGTGCGCGCCCAGGATCCGAACCTGGGCCGCCAACAGCGGAGCGTGCACACTTAACCCCTAAGCCACCGGGCCGGCCCATGGGCAAGCCTTTTTAAAGAATGACAGAGAAGTATAATAAGGATATCTATTCTCTTTGGGTAGAACTGCATCTAAATCATATGAAACATTTTGTGGTGGGGGAGAAACCTCAAAATTTAAAGTATTTAAACAGATAAAATCCACTGACAGCATTTTTGTTAATGATTTTGCTTTTATGAGCAGCAATTTTTTTTTCTTTATATCATTTGGTTGGGGTTGGGAGACTGGTTGAATCTTATAACTAAAAGATTCAAATCCAAAACAAGTTATTAAAGTATTGGCATTCAGTGCTAAGAACTCTAAGCCCTTTCTAGAGTCTGTATTACTCAAACGGCTGCTAAGGGCATCATGGAAACTTTGACTTCTTTTTAAAATATCATCTTCCACCCAAACACTTCTGTTTCCATAGTTACTTTTATACTTCCCTAGTTTAAAATTTTGTTCTTTTGTAAATTCTTAAGCTCTTATCTATCATTTTTACTTTAGAATTATGGGGAGTTAGCATAGAAAAGAGAGTCTGAGAGGAGCAAGAAATGGTTGTTATTGAAGGTGGTGGCATTGAAGGACTAATGGAGGGGAGGGGTTGCCCAAGACTAGTTTAGTGATTTCATAACTTTGTGCAGGGCAAGTTCCACCTGTAAGATCATTGTAAATCATTCCAGCAACAGGTTAAACTAGCTTGATGACTTTGCTTATATTTATTTTGCTTATAATGTGTGCCACCAATAGTTAGACTCTTCCTGGTGAATAATGCTTCATGGATGACATTGCTCTACTGGGTACAATTATTAGTCCATTCTGCCAGGATTCTGGCACTGGCAGCATCATAGAGCATCATAGTTGCCATCTAGGTATAAATTCTGTATCTGTTGCATCTTCTCCCTGGAATGCTTGCTGCCTGTTTGTTAAGCAGATACCCTTTAAATCACAGCTCAAGTACTACCAAATTTAGATTCCTTTTCTTTCTTTTTTTTTTGAGAGACATTGGCCCTGTGCTAACGTATGTTGCCAATCTTCTTCTTTTTCTTTTTTCTCCCCAAAGCCCCAGTATATAGTTGTGTATCATAGTTGTAGAGTTGTAGCTCTTCTGTGTGGGACACCGCCTCAGCATGGCTTGATGAGTGGTGAGTAGGTCCACGCCCAGGATCTGAACTGGCGAACCCTGGGCCACCAAAGTGGAACACGCGAACTTAACTGCTATGCCGCTGGGCCAGCCCCTCTTTTTCTTGTATTGCATTGTTTCTTGCACATATTTCCATTTAAATTATTATAATATTATTATAAGTTTTGGCTTGTAGCATAGTCTAGTAGTTAGGAGCACAAAGCCTAGAGCAAAAATCCGGCTCTACCACTTACTGAGCTGTATGGCCTTGGGCAAGTTCCTCAACCTTCCTATGCCTCAGTTTCTTCATCTCCAAAATGGGGAAAATAAGAGTATCTATCTATCTCAGGGTAATTATGAGAATAAGATGTGTTAATACATGTTAAGTGCTTAGCACGGTTCTTGGCACATCATTAAGTTCTAAATAAATGTTAGTGATGATGGTTTCTCTTCAGTAGACTATTAGCCCCTTGAAGAGAGACTGCCTGTAAAGGGAAAAAAACCTCTCATTTGTTGTGCACTTCCTGTGTACCAAGTCCTATGTTTTACTTGTATTATCGTCAATCTTTTTAACACTGTTGCAAAGTTGGTATTATACCCAATTTGCACATGAGAAAAATGAGACTTATAGAGGATGTTGCTTACTCAGGGATGGTCAGCAAATAAGTTATTTGTATTCCCATCATCAGGCTAAGTGCTGATGACATGTTATCTAAATAACTAAAGTTACTTAGTTAACCAATAATTAAAGTTATCACTTTAGTAAAAAACTGTTGAATGAATTGGGGCTACTAGCTTGATAATTTTGACTAATTTGACATTTATTCTTACTCTTAGGTAAAAATTTTCCCTCTTTGTAGGCTTATATTATTCAGTTATATCTGTCATCACTGTCATCTAATAAGGATTTTGACAGTCGGCAAAGTATCTATTTATCACCAAGGCATTTCTTCCTCCTGAATAGCTGCAGTGCATATGTGGTTCAGCTATATGACAGTTTCATTTTCTTTCCAAATCCTATGATAGTGACCTCTATTCTGATTCTGATACCTGTTGTCGTGGCTATGTTGTATGCCTCACCACTGAAAGTTCTAATTTCTGAAATCTGGAATGCTGATATCTTACTTTCTTTTTTTTTTAAATTATTTTATTGAAGTCATATTGGTGTATAACATTGTGTGATTTCAGGTGTACATTATTATGTATCAGTTTCCGTATAGACTGCATTGTGCTCACCACCAGTGGTCTAGTTTTTATCCGTCACCATACATATGTTCCCCTTTATCCCTTTCGCCCACTCCCCACCTCCTTCCCCTGTGGTAACCACTAATCTATTCTCTTTATCCATATGTTTGTTTATCTTCCACATATGAGTGAAATCGTACAGTGTGTATCTTTCTCTGTCTGGCTTATTTCGCTTAACATAACACCCTCAAGGCCCATCCATGTTGTTGCAAATGGGATGATTTTGTCTTTTTTTTTTTTCAGCTGAGTAGTATTCCATTGTATATTTATACCATATCTTCTTATCCATTCATTAGTTGATGGGCACTTGGGTTGCTTCCACATCTTGGCTATTGTGAATAATACTGCAGTGAACATAGGGGTACATAAATCTCTGTATTGTTGATTGTGTGTTCTTTGG